TCCTCGTCCTGGTCAGGTGGCCTGTAGCAGACACCCACCACAGTGTCTCCCACATTAGCCTGCCCTCTAATCCTTACCCACAAGCTCTCAACTTGCTCATCATCCACCCCCAGGTTGAGCTCCATGCATTCCAGTTGCTCTCTCACATAAAGAGCAACTCCACCACCCCGCACACAGATCTCCAGTTCATCCTGCTTATTCCCCATGCTGCCCACATTGTTATACAGGAATTTCAAGGAAGTAATTGAGCCTGCAGGTTTCCCAGGATGGGTGAAGGAGGACCCTCTATAATCATGTCCTATCCTCACTTCCCCACTACCATACTCCCGCTGGATGCCATCTGACTTTGGCTGCGTGGTACTGATTGCCCTGTCTGTGTGACACTCCCGTTCCCCCTTCTTGCTTAGTTTAAAGCCCTTCTAACCAGGCTGGCCAACCTTTTGGCAGACGCGTGTGCCCCTCTTGCTGAGGTGGTTCCCATCATTCCCCACTAGCTGATGGTCATCAGAGTCCCATGGTCATAGAAGCCAAAACCCTGTTGCCAAGACCAGCGGCGCATCCAGTTGTTAATCTGCCATATCTGCCTTCTCCTTGAATCCATTCCCCTCGTTGGTAGGATAGAGGAGAACACAACCTGGGCTCTCATACCTTTGACGGTCATCCCTAGGGCTCTGAAATCTTGCTTGATAACCCTCAGTTTCCCCATGGCATCATTAGTTCCCATGTGAAACAGTCAGACTTCTGGTCAAGCCTTGGGAGCCTCTCTGTAAAATCCCGTATTTGAGCCCCTGGCAAGCAGCAGACCTCTAAGAGCAGACCTACTCTACGCAGACCTGCTAAAGTAAGTGTCTCAGGAAATACTCAGGGTCAACAGCTAATACATGAGTATTGTAGACACTATAATTAGTTAGGTGTGTTTACAAAATTGATTTGTGGTAGGCTGCCATGTCTGGAGCATGGAAAATTCCCTCAGTGCTAGATTCCTTGTAATATAGGCTTTGTGGTGCAAAAGGAATAATCAGGGAAAAGGAGTGAAATCATGAACTCCACCTAAATCGTTTACTATGTCTACCACAGTTCTTCCCATGAATTTTTTAAATCCAGAAAGTTTAAACACAATATTGCTGTTGAGATTTTACATATACAAATGCAGCAGGCTTAAAGTTTGATGTGTCACAATAAACTTAACACAAACCTAATATCGTCAATAGGCAAGCCTAAGGAAATGCAACTCAAAGTAATACTTTTGATCACAGAGATCAAATGATACCAGCTGTAAGAACCATAAGTCAGTTTGTCTTCTCTTTCTTATGTTAATTCTCAATTACAATGGTAAGACAGTAGTTATGAAGCTTCTTAAGATATTGTCCTTAGAAAATAAATGCATGTTGTCTTCATTTAGTGCAACTAAGACTGCAAGAGGGCAAACTTGGAGTGAAGAATTTTGCATGGTTACTGAAAGGCTACTCTTAAATTTTAACCATAATCCTTCAAAGGAAGGCCACCATTTTCACTGGACTTAGCAAATATGTTTCTGGGTTCAGCTCGATGTATTTATTTTCAAGTATAGAGGAAATATAGAATTAATTACATAACCCCATGAAGGCATAACTGATTTTAATTAGTCCCTGAAACACAGCTTATAGTCAAGATATAAGGGGTCAAGATGCCTGCCTTAGCCCTTTGGTTTTCTTCATGGTTTAGATCACCGGTTTTTAAACTGTGATCCTCAGATCTCCATGAATTACTGGAGAACATCAGAGGGGTCCATCAAAGGCAATTAAAAGAATTAGCTAGTTAACTAATATCAGGCAATTAAGTTTGCTATACATCAAAGTTAGTATAGCAAATATTTAGGAATGCTCTACTTGGCAAATGCTGACAGCTACTGCTTTGATTCAACCACAGCTCTTGTCCTTGAAGCAGAAATAAAGTCAGGGAAGTCCTGTTGCCTGTGTGTTATGCAGGAACTTATACTAGACAATCATCTCAGTCCCTTCTGGCTTAAAATCTACAAAACGCTAATAGACTTTAAAAACTGCTAGGGCCTTGTCACGATTATGTTATATGATGGTCCCACCTTTTTTTTTCATTCCTTGGTGATTTATCCTTATTTTATCTTGGTCTATATAGTACTAAGCTTTGAAATTTTGCAATTGCTACAGTGTGGCACCCCAAAGGTTCAAATTCCCAAAATAAACACTTTTATAGCAACTCCCCTGGGCTGCTTTTATGGTCAGTATGGGGTCTAGAATTGTTAGCAGTAGCTGAGTTTTTTAAGAGCAAGCATTTCTTTGATGAGTGCACAAATTCCATGGGCACTGCAAGAAACACTGGTTATTAGTCTTTATTTAATATGCATAATTTCAATTCATTTACTCCCCCCATCTCAATCTATTTTGTAAGAAAGAACTTTACGTTTTGCCATTGTGCCAATTAAAATCTCTGCTGGAAAATGTAGCTCTGAATTCTGAGAACTGTACTGATTCTACTGAGACTGGATTAATTTTCTATATTTCATGGGGATAGACAATCAGCTCCTCTAACATGCATTTTACTTCAACAAGATCCTGTGCCTGCACTTGAGCATCTAGCACCACATGCCCCAAACTGTGTTACTTTCAGAGAACAATTTGTGCCACATTAATCGGTGGTCTGGAAATCTACTTGTGAAAAAGCCAGTAGCACAACTAGCTGATGATGTATAAAGGGAGATGGAGCAAGTACAATCCTGGTAACTGTACAAAACTGGAAGGCAGCCACATATTAATTTTGCATGCATCAAACCCCAGAAACCTGCAGACATATATACTGCTGTGGTCCTACTCTCCAGGGAAGGCCATGCAAGGTTGTTCTGAGGCTATAAATCACCTATCAAATTTTAAAAGAACGGTGTTGCCCTATGATGAATTTCTTCTGATGCCAGCTTATGGCTTCTACATTGGCAGGGACGGCAATCTCATTGCAAACAACACAGCATAACTCCACATGTAGACAAGCACACTTTTATAAGCTACACCTCTCCCATCTCCCCACCAAACTGGGGAAGAGTGTAAGGTTCTCCAGGTTCTCCACCTCCTCCACTTTGGATATACAAGTACGTGTCCCTATCTCAGTGGGAGCCTTGGATGTATCTACAGTGATATCCTTAGTGTGACCAGAGTATGTGCAGATGGGCCTTAGGCAGATTGGAAGTGGCAAAGTCTGTGCAGAGATGTTCAGCCACAGTACAGCACTGCTTAGCCCTGGCTCACCCAAGAACCACCAGCAGGTAGTTTGTTCATTCCAATCAAAACGCCATGTTTTTCTTTTGGAAATGGATTAGAATTTTGTTACAGTAATTTCAAATTAATGAGTTATGAAATTTTAACTGTAACAACTCCTTCAATGTCTATATTTATAGACTGAAGTGCAGGAGATGATTGTTTTAGCGGTATTTTTGCTAGTTCCCGTCAGTTACATCTGTAGATGCTGAGTACAAAACATTGTGTTTTACAGGGACAGATTTCTACCATTTTATCAACACCGAATAAGGTCATTAATTCCTTATTTGAATAAATTCCTAAATTAATAATGATCACAGATGTAGTAGGCTTTTATTTTTACAGAAGAAATGACACATTCAAGCATGATATACTTTTGGAGATATAATCCCCTGCAGGTTCAACTCACATTGCTATTTAATATACTCACATATACTATTTAATAGTTGTGGTATCAAAACAGTGCTTCTTCTGCAACTACTTTTAATCTTGCTTTTAGGGACTTAGTGATTAAGATATTAACATTGCTTTACAGAAGTGACAAATGCAATTATGCAGTGCATAAAAGTAACATCCTAATGACATTTTTCAAATTTATGTTTAACTAGAATTGATTATTAGACTGATACTCATTTGTCTTACCAGCATGGAAGAGTATAACATGACCAACCAGATTGTGAACTGTATATATATTAATCACATTAACTAACACAGGCCATTATGCAATAGGAAATAAGTCTGCTTATACTCTCTATTGATTATAGATACTGTTTTAAAACTTTCAATTAATGTCTTCACATCCTCCAAAGAACCAACAATCAAAAATGTAGATAAATGTATATAATGCAGTAACAAAAATATTAACAAAGCCTAGCACATGTGTTTCATTCTAAAAATTCCAAATATTTTATTAGATACTCACTTTGGAAATACTGTCCATGTCTCCTGAGCCTTAAATTAAAACAGATCATTATTCAATTAGTTTTGAACAGAAATTAATCTATGATATTGCCACATTTAAAAGTAGAACTTAACAGCAAGATTAACAGCAATGTTAAAACGTAAACATGCTTGAACCTTCTTCCATCCCATTGTCTCTCAGAGAAAGTTTACACTCAGTTGTTAAATGATGGTAGTTCTTTGTGTACACATCTAGTACAAAAAGTGGGAAAGAATGAAGGATACAGTTCTGATCTGTATCAGTTCCTTCAATAGCATCCTTTAGGATGAGACAGCCTGGCACAGCGCAAGAAAGGATATGCCCAACCTCCCTGTTATCTTTAGCCATGGTAGGGTACAGCTATTGCAGCTCATTTGGAGGACATGCATCCAAGGGAAACATTGCTTCAGCTTGAGAAGAAAAGTAAAATCATGGATAACTAAAAAAGTTACTGTCTTGAAAAAAAAAATGACCACCCTTTTTACTGAACTTTAGCTATCCAAAATTCCCTAGAAAACTGCTAGTGGAAGTAGCATCTTCAGGATCAGCTGGGGGTAGTGGTATTTCATCAGTGTCTTTGCCTCAAAAAATCTAAGTCTACAAGTGAAATTGGCTGATATGACATCACCTTTGGATGCAGTACAAATACTGATGACGATAATTTCTTTCAGAAAAAAACAGGTGATTCTAAGAAACAATGGAGTAATACAAACTAAATAAAACTTAGAATCATGTGTGCAATATTAGTAAAAAGAATTTTTCTAAGATGCAGTGGCTCTCACTTGGCTGAAGCCAAGAATAAAGGAAATACACTTTATCAATAAAAGTATTTCTAGCAGCATCAGACAGTAAACAATTCTTGTAATCTATTTTCAGGGAAGACAAATTCAAACTGGAAGAGTGTCAGAGAAAAACAATCATGAAAATGGAGTTGTGGGAGGAGTGGAGTTGTGTGGAGTTTCAGGAGACTGAAATAGCATGGTATACTTAGCAAGGCAAATTAAGGCTGAGAAGGAATATGATTCCTCTCTCTAAGAAGTACTCCAGGTACTCCAGATACATAAACTCTGGGAAGAGTCATTTTATCATGGACAAGTGGATAAATTTTGGTGGAAATAACAGAAAGATTTCTTCCCAACTGTAAAAGCTGGGAATAGATATCCAGTAGCAGGATTGTGATCAAAGAATCTTGAAGTGTTCAAGATGGAGTCTGACCAATGTATGCTCTTGAGACAGAGTTGCCTACTGCAGCATGGAATGAAATGCAGGAGATCTCTTCCAGTCCTACACTTCTAAGAGAACTCAGGTTCCATTCTAGAAATGAAATTAACCTTAGAAGGCAGTTGTAGCTAATTTGACTAACCATGTAATTATTTTCATTACAGAAAATAACTAACCAAATACTAGGTAGACATAGAATCCTTCTGAAACTGTTTCGACTGTCATTTTTCTTTAGCTAAGAAATAATTCTCAGGCTATAAGAAGAAACAAAAGAAGAAAAAACTTTTACCATTTTTTTCATTTGCTTTAATGTGCATCATTATTAATTAAAGCAGCAGCTTGTATCAGGATTGTAATATGTAATAAGAAAAGCTATAAGGTCACAAGATGGCCTTATGAAAGGTAATCTAGGAATTTCAGAAACCTGCTTTCCCAGAAGGAAACCTGTTCTATTGCTCAGAATATGTCTGTTTAGTGAGGTTTGATGGTCTCCAGTTAAAGCTTTTCTTCTTGTCATAGCTTTTTCCAATTTCTTGATTATACATCTTGTTTTATAATCTCCAGATTCCGGGCTATACCTATGGTAATTTTTCATCCACCATGGCAATATGGAATGACAAAGCGTTAGCTGTAGTAGGGAATTTAAGCTGGTTTGTGCTGGGAAGATGATGGAGCTTTTCTTCAGGGATAGAACCAGGGGGAACTGTGATAGCTTGGCATGTGTGTGATCATCATATATGTAACTTGCTTGGGTTTTTCACCATAAAGGAAAATGCTATTTAGCAGTGTTGCTGGCACCTTGTGGATGCATAAGATCAGCTCCCAGATGTAAAAGAGAATCTTGCTGGTTGGAAATGGAGATAGAAGAGGAAAGAGATGA